CTAATTAACTATGAGTCCAATTACCTCAGCATACAAACCACTGATCCCTTTAGTTTTTGAACCAGAGCAACCAAATCAAAGCAAGAGTTGGAATCAAAACAGACTCTTCATCTCTAGTTTTAATAATAGTGATACTGGTACATTACATGAGAGACGCAGTCATTTTTCAGTTAATCTAATATCAGTGGCTTTGTCAGGTTGGAGGCTGACTCTCTGTGCAGGCGCTCACCCATCATCACCATCACTCAGTATAAAAAAGCATCATTCTTTGATATCTGCATATATTGTATCTTTCCACCAAATGTATCCTGCCAATTTATGACAACAAAATAATGTATACGAATTATGTTTTATTTTAATTTTGTTTTAAGTTAAATCAGATGACACTTAAGCTTTAGAGGTGAAACAATTAAAATGTAGAAATATTTCCTGATGCAATATAGGACCACAGCAGTGGAGTAAAGGGCAGATAGCTATTGGTGTCTCAGGAGGTCACGGATGGGGCTTTTATGTCCTGCCTTACTCTCCGTCAGCACACCATGGAGCACCCTGACTCTCCTGATAGGTTACCTCCCTGCTGGGGCATGAAGCAACTCCGTCTTGGCTGTGAAGCAGGAACTCAGAAAGCAAAGGCGTCAGCTATGCAGATCCCAGCAGGAACAGTGGAGCAATGGAATAGGGTAGCAGGGCGGAGGAATGAGGGAGCCACCTGTTCACCACAGCTAAATATCTAACCTAGAACACTTGGAAGGAGAGAACAGTGTTTCTGCTTAACATGGAAACAATTATGATTTTTACTGCCCTCATAGAACAAAATGGCCACAGCTGATGGTTGGAGATTAACAGGGATGTTCATTAATACCAGCGACTCAAGTAGTACTTAATGTGCTGAGATTTCTGCCTTTTAAAACACACATTATTGCCTTAACAGTGACGTCCAATTCAAAGCCTACACTGTTCAGCACATAGTGTAGGACTCAGCATTACAAGTCAAAATACTTAAATACTTTCACCACAAGCACAGCATTCCCTATCAATGGATCGCCTTCATTCAGCTTTTCTGTCCAAAGCTTGGCTTAATTCAGCATTGACACCCTAACACACTTCCACGTGTCCAGCATTCTGGCAGACAGGAGATGGAATTTTATTACTGCCAAGTTTGACAAGTCTGACCCAGAGCTCTATATCTTAACACTTGACGTATTCATACTGGGATAAAAATAATATTACAAGATAATAAGACACAAATGATCTTGAATATGTTGCATATTCTGATTAAAAAAAAATTAAATGGCAGCCTGAGGAATAATTAGCTGGTTCGTATGATTTTAAGATGCATTAACATGGCACTAATTTCAAATGAAGTAGTAGTAGATTTTTAAGTATTTTTTAAAATTTGGTACAGACTCAGTTCACTTGAGGCAATTCCAGAGTTGGCTGAAAAAGCATGGTCGCCATTTGTTTTGAGCCTGGACTGGGACATTTAAGAGCAATTGGTCACAAGATCTGAGTAATCGTGGTACAAAGTATTGGGTTATAAGTTCAGAAATAAAAGGGTACCAGGCTATGGAGGGCTTTGAATGTGATCAGGTGGCTCTTGATCTGAATTCTGAATTAGACAGGAAGCCATTGTGAGTAATATGGCTAGCTCTACAATGCTCTTAGGCAATGCTGAACTGATTTTGGCAATATTTCAGAGTTGCAAAAAACGTGATGGTCAAAATACAAAGAGATCATCACGATTTCTAGTTGCAGTGTGTTGACCTTTCTGATATCATGACCCTATCAGTAGGGTCATTTGTCAGTGCCTTTGAAAACTGTTTATTGTTGTTGTATTACTTTATTAATCCCACAACGGGGAAATTCCCTTGTCACAGCAGCATTTACGTGAAATGAATAAAAACTGGTATAAAAAACTATGGTAAAGTGGTAATGCTATGGTATGGTGGTAATTTGAAAAAAACAGAAACTACAACATTGATCAGGTGTTGTAGAGTCTGACAGCGGCAGGGATGAAAGACCTGCGGAACCTCCGTCAATTCCCTAACACCGAGGGTGTAACCAGTCTGCCTGCTGAAGGAGGCTACTCCAGGGGACCCGCACAGTGTCAGGTGTTGTCCATGATGGGATGTCAGCTTCACATAACAATCCTCCTTATCACTCCCCACTCCCTTGTAGGCCCCAGTATATAGTCTGCACGCTCTGCAGTAACTCTCATTATAGATGGCTGTGTTGTCAGCGACATGTTAAATTTGTTCAAGTCACAAGATCTCTGTGACGTTGGATTATTGCTCATCTTGGATACATCATTTCCATTAATTTGCAGACCCTGCTTGTGCCTTGGTTGTGGTTACAGTCCTTTCCTCCACGCATCCTTGGTGGCCTGGCCCATCAGCGTCCATCAGTAGAGGTCACCCTCGAAAGGAGAAAGTCGTCCCGAGGACTCCTGGGAAACCCTGCCCATCATTCCTGCTGTCTTTGGTCCTGGTCGATCGGGCCAGTGATATTCCACCAATCTCTCATCCGAGATAAACAGTTCGCTAGCCTGGGGAGGCGGTCACTGCTAGGGCGAGCTGTGTAAGCAACTTTTCGGTTTTTCATTAATTTCACCTCTATTTGGTTCTAAAAAAAAAAAAAACACGTTTTAGGTATCAATTATTCATTGGA